GCGCCCAAGAGGCCTCCAAGATGGCCCCAACACGGCCTAGATGGCCCGAAGATGCACCCAAGACTGCCCAAGATGGCCTCAAGATGGCCTAAGACGGTCCTATAGGCCCGCAAGAGGCCTCCAAGACGGCCCAAGAACTCTCCAAGACGTCCTCCAGAAGGCCCGAAGAGGCCAAAATCAGTGATTTTCCTGCCGGGTGTTGAAGGATTTTGACATGTTCCTCTTTTCAGCTCTCCGACGACCCAAGACGGCCCAAGCGGCCCCCTAACATCGTCCCAAGATACCCAAGAGGCCTCCAAGATGGCCCCGGGACAGCCCAAGAGGCCCCCAAGAGGGCCCCAAGAACGCCCCAAGACGGCCCAAGGGGCTCCCAAGACACCCAAGATGGTCTCCAAGACGGCCAGGATGGCCTCCAAGATGCCTCCAAGACGGCCAAGAAGGCCTCCAAGACGGCGAACATGTCCCCAAGATGCACCCAAGGCGGCCCCAGATGGCCTGAAGATGGTCTTAGACTGTCCAAAAGGCCAGCCAGAGGCCTCCAAGACGGCCCAAGAGCCCTTCCAAGACGTCCTCCAGGAGGCCCGAAAGCTCGGGAACCACGTGGCCCGATAGCTCGCCCGACTCCGTGTTCCCCGAAGGCTTTCGAAACCCACTCGGGGAACGCGTGGCCCGATAGCTTGGCCAAGCTCAAACTCAACTTTCGGCCACGCAGGCGCTTCCAAAAGGGCAGGGGGCGGCAGTGATTCGCCGTGGGCGTCCTCGATCCGCCGCCCCCTGCTGGCTTGCCACAAGGGTGCCCGGCGTGCTAGACCCTTTCGATTTTGGCTTTGGTTCTCCTTCCACAAGAAATCCCCATGGGGCTTCGGCCCGTCCCGCCGGCCACCCGGAAGGGTGCGCAAAAGGTGGCTGCAAAGGATTGTTCGGCTTCAAACGGCTCCCAGATGGCCTCCAAGATGGCCTCCAAGTTCGCCCAAGATGGACCAAGATGGCCTCGAAGACGGCCTAAGAGAGTCCAGGATGCCTCCAAGTTCGCACAAGAAATACTTAAGACGGCCCAAGACGGCCGAAGACGGCCCCAGAGGCCTCCAAGAGGCCTCCAAGACGGCCCACGAGGCCTCGAAGAGGTCCTCCAGGGTCCTCGAGGACGGCCCGAAGAGGTCAAAGTCATCGATTTTTCTTGGGTTTTTGAAGGATTTTGGCGACTGCTCCTTTTCGGCCTTCCGACGGCCCAAGACTGCCCAAGAGGTCACCAAGATCGCCCAAAGACTGCCCAAGAAGCCTCTAAGACGGCCACAGGAGGGCCCAAGGGCCCCCAAGGAGCCCCAGATGGCCTCCAAGACGGCCATGATGGCCTCCAAAATGCCTCCAAGACGGCCAAGATGGCCTCCAAGACGGCCAATATAGCCCCCAAATGCACCCAAGACGGCCCAAGATGGCCTCAAGATGGCCGAAGACTGCCCAAAAGTCCCGCAAGAGGCCTCCAAGACGGCCCAAGAACTCTCCAAGACGATCATGTATTTGCCTTCGGTGTTCAAAGGATTTAGGCTTTTGCTTCTTTTGAGCTCTCCGACGGCCCAAGACGACCCAAGCGGCCCCCAACATCGACCCAAGAGCGCCCAAGAAGCCTCCAAGATGGCCCCACGACAGCCCAAGAGGCCCCCTAGAAAGCCCCGAGACGGCCGACGCCCAAGATAGCCTCAAAGACGGCCAAAATGGCCTCCAAGATGCCTCCAAGACGGCCAAGATGGCCGTCAAGACGGCTAAGATGGCCCGACGATGCACCCAAGACGGCCCAAGATGGCCTCAAGATGGCCTAAGACGGCCCTATAGGCCCGCAAGAGGCCTCCAAGACGGCCCAAGAGCCCTCCAACACGTCCTCCAGGAAGGCCCGACAGGGTTAAAATCATTGATGTTCCTCTGATGTTTGAAGGAGTTTGGCATGTTCTTCTTTTCAGCTCTCCGACGGCCCAAGACGGCCCAAGAGGCCCCCAGCATCGTCCTGAGAGCGCCTATGAGGCCTCCAAGATGGCCCCAGGACAGCCCAAGAGGCCCACAAGAGGGCCCCAACAAGACGCCGAGACGGCCCACGATGGCCCCCCACGACGCCCAAGATGGTCTCCAAGACGGCCAGGATGGCCTCCAAGATGCCTCCAAGACGGCCAAGAAGGTCTCCAAGACCGCGAAGATGGCCCCAAGATGCACCCAAGACATCCCCAGATGGCCTGAAAATGGTCTTAGACTGCCCAAAAGGCTCGCCAGAGGCCTCCAAGACGGCCCAAGACCCCTCCAAGACGTCCTCCAGGGGGCCCGAAAACTCGGAAACCACCTGGTCCGATAGCTCGCCCGACTCCGTGTTCTCCGAAGGCTTTCGAAACCCACTCGGGGAACGCGTGGCCTGATAGCTTGGCCAAGCTCAAACCCAACGTTCGGCCACGCAGGCGCTTCCAAAAGGGCAGGGGGCGGCGGTGATTCGCCGTGGGCGTCTTCGATCATACTGTGCGGCGCGCACACTCGTATATCTAATGAAGAGTTCAAATCATCCCTTGCAAAGAAGTGTGCAAAGTCCACACGCGCGCACATGTCGAAACCAGGTCAAACACACCGAGTTCGCAAGCGTTGCACACCTCTGTGCTTTCCCATCATAAGTTGAAGCATGTTCTGCCCGCGCGCACTTGTTGAAACACTATGAAAAATAAGGTTGAACCCGTATTCTCATCGCACCACGCGGTGCACGCGTGCTCCACAAGCCACTCTCGGTCTCCATCAGCCATTCGGGGACCTCCGTGGGTCTCCAAGAAACCTCTGGGTGAACTCACCCGCAAACTCTCACCCCCTTGGCGAAATACCACCCACGACCTCGTGAGTTCATGATCCTGGATGGGGGAGAGACATGTTGTTGCCTTGTGCAGTCTAATTCGCTTGCTACGAGTGGACCCGCGGGGAGGACGAGGAGGAGGATGAGAAGGAGGAGGAGGAGGAGGAGATCAAGGAGGAGAAACAAGACACACGACATCCTGTTTCTGTTTTGCAGGGTGGAGCCCTGGAGATCTTGACACTTCCCCGAAACCGGCTTTCTATCCCGAGGCCCTCTCTGTGCAGACAGGTCGAGGGCCCCAAACGTGGCAGATCACCAAAAATTTCCATTGCGGCTTCTTCACGACACCCGGGGGGCTCTGGAAGGGGCAGTCATGGGGCGACTCTGCTCGACGTCCTCGCCGACGTCCTGCGCACAAAGGCCAGCGCGGGGCCAGGGGTGGCAAGCGTGCGAAGTACAGTACTAACAAAAACACTTGTCCAGCATCGGGGGCTCCTGTCAAAAGGGCTGCTGGGCAACAAATCCCCTCACCATCTTGGGCCTGAAACGATTCTGCTGAAAGCCAGGCGGGAACCCTTCGGGATCCGGAATCGGTGGCCCGTGGCGTCCCTCCCAGCATGGTCTGCCGCAGGATCTCCCATTCCCTGGGGCGGTCTTGGGAGCCTCCTGGCCTGTCCTGGACACTGTGAAGACCAGAGAAGCTAACATGCAACAAATGCACCTTTTCCTTAGGGAGTGGAGCGACTTTTGCCCCTTGCGCGGGGTCCTTGCTAGGAACAAGGAACGGCGACACCAACACCAACACCAACAGGGCGAGGAGATGCGAGGAGGCAAGGGGGAACTCCCTGGTGGTGTGGTCCCCCCCTCTCGCTCGAGACATCCCCGGCCTCCAGCTCGGAGAGGCATCGTGGACCTCCTCGCTGGCGGTGGGCCCCCTGGTGGTGTTGGCATCGCTCCTCCTCCCTCCGAGCTTGCGGGGGCCTCCCGCGGCTTCTCGGGGGCCTCCTGTGGGCCGTCTGGAGGCCCCCCTGTGGGCCGTCTGGAGGCCCCCTGTGGGTCCGCCCGAGCAGCACCGAGCCTTCCCCTCCGACGTTGTGCTGCCCAGGGCCTCCGGCCACCGGGGGTGTAGCTGTGATGGCGCTCTCTCGACTGGGGGATCATCCTCGCAACTCACACCTGAGTTCCAAGATGCGGTTCGCGAGGTGCTCTGGCCCGTTTCGCCTGAGAAATCCCTGGGTTCCAAGACGTGGTTCGAGAGAGTTAGGCCTACTTCCTGAGATATTCTCGGAACCCTGGGCTATTGCAAGATGCCTTGAGTCGACTACAGAACTGATTCACCCCCAACTTGATTTGCACGTCGACTCTTCAACAACAATGCGTCAACCACTCGTAGATTGGGGAAAGCTCTACGGACTGCCCGTGGATTCGACAAGAGAAAAGCAGAACAATTCTGGGGCAAACCAATGCTGCAGTCGATCCCCTACTCGATTCTCCGCCCGCCACTGGCGAGACGGAGCCGGAGATCGAGGGCCTCAGCCGGCCCGATGCGCAGCACGCGACCCGCGGCGTGTTCACACGGAGCCCAGCACGCAGATGGAGCGCGGGCGCCCGGCGCGGCACGTTCGCCGGAGCGTGGGCCGGCACGTCGAGCCAACGCGCAACGTATTGGCACGGACGCTTTTGAAGCACGGCACATGCTGCGCTTCCTGAGGCAGCTGAGCCGAGGACGGACGATGCACCTGACGCCCCAGACCCCCTCGAGTTATGAAAAAATCACGACGGTAGGTTTTTCATAAGTTTTGGCCTCTGGGGGCCCTTACCGGCCCTCGGGACCGTCAAAAAACGACTCAGGACGAAGAACCGGTCCCGGGGGATGGGTCCAGACCGCTGGGGGTCGACGTCATGAAAAATTCATTACGTCGAGGGTCTGGGGCTGCTGCTGCTGCTGCTGCTGCTGCTGCTGCTGCTGCTGCCTCAGCCTCTGAGGCGGCGCAGCGGGCTTCCCATGAGCCGCCGGCCCCGTCCGGGCCGCTCTGGCACTCCTGGCCGGGGGGGCCACGGTGCGAGCGACCTGCTTGCGTGCTCGAGGTTCCACCCAGTGTGGCACGAGCTTTCGCGCAAGTGGCGCCAACACCAAAAGAGAGCCCCCCCGACGCTTCGGCGCGGGCGCTGGCGGCCGGGGTGCCGGGCGTGGTGGACGTGCGAGGTGGCGGCCGCCGCGACGAGCCTGCCGAGGCAGAGGGCGCCCCAGTAGACCGACGTCAGCTGGGCCGCGTCGAGCTTGGAGGCGCCCAGCCACTCTGGCAAGAACGGCAGAGGAAGCAGAACAGATGAGCTCTCGGAGCCCTGTGCGGATGTCTTGGGTCGGCGCCAGCGCCCGGCCCCCCCCCCCTTCGATAGCCTTCTGTATTTTTTTGTCGGCGAGGGCTACAGTCGGGCTGCCGAAAGAAGGAACGCCAAATCAGGAACGAAGCCCCTTCTGGGCACTGTAAGCGCCTCCGTGCCCCAGGAGGGCAAGAGTGAAGGGGCCCTGGGACACACACACACACACACAAATAATTACACACAAATAGCAGGATTCCCAATGTTTTTCATTATTTTCTGGGTTTTCGTCTTCCCCCCCACTGCCCGTATTTTTCCATATTTCGGGGGAAGCGACGATGCATTGTGTCTGTGTTTTTTCCTTCCTGAAAGAGGAACAGCACTGGAGGAACCTAAGGAACATCGAGCCCCTTCCGACCCCAAACTGTTCCTTGTTTCAGCGTCTTGACTGTATCCACTACGGGGGGTGGCCGGACGATAGCCTGACATTTTCGCTCTGGGCAGCCTCACGTACGCCCGCGCACACCAGTATGAAGGGGCCCTGGGACACACAAAGGAGTAGACACGAATTACAGGATCCCCCATATTTTCTATATTTTATGGGTTTTTGCCTTCCCCCCCCACTTCCCATATTTTCCCAGATTTTCGGGGGAATCGACGATTCATTGTCTGTGCGTTTTGTTTCCTCCTGACAGTACTGCGTACCCCCTTCTGGCTTGCGCAACCGACAGGGTCAGGCTGCTTATCTGCGGGGGGGAGAGGGGGCAGAGGCGGGTGAGCCCGGTAACCCAGACTAACAGGGGATATGTCGACCCCTATCTCAGGCTTCGTGGGGTTCCGAATGGACCAAAAATTTGGTGCCAACCCTGGGATATACGATGGGGGGGTGTCCATCCTCGATAGGGGTGCGTCCAAATTGCCCCCTTGGGGTGTATCCCAGGGTTTTCTCGTTTTTCTGAGCGGCCAAACTTTTCGGGCGAAACTCGGGGATTGGGGGAGAAACATCGCCCGCGACAGACTGCTGCTGGGCCCTAAAGCAACAGTCTCCACTTCAGCTGCTATGGCATAGCATTTGGCTCGTGCTAGTTGCTCTGAAGCTGGCCTCGCGGCCGCAAGCCTCAGGCGCGTGCTCAAGCCGGGGACTCATAAACTCGTAGCTGCCGATAAGGGAACCCAGACTGGTGCACATCATGCAGGGTGCGCGAGTGCGAGAACGACGGCAAAGAAGCAACATCACCAACCCAACGCACATCCACACCACATGGGCGTCGCAGTGCGATCCTGCCTGTCCTGTCAGGAAGGGGCTCGCGCCGACCCAAGAAGTCAGTTCGGTCCTCAGAGGGCTCATTCTTGCGTCGCTCTCTGCCGTTCTCTCTTGGGCAAAGGCGTCCACGTAGCCCCCGAACGCGACCTCGATGCCCACGTAGACGAAGAGGAAGACGCCTGCGGCAGCGGAGCTGTGGCCGAGAGGAGGCTCGGGGAGGCGGCCGAGGGGGCGGCGCGCGGGGACGAGGCGCCCACCCCAGGGCGGGCCGGCAGCGCAGTGTCTCTGGACACTAATGCGGGATGACGATTAATTAAAAAATGGGAGAGAGCGATTGAAAAAATAGTTTTCTGCTATGTCTGCACAATTTTCTGACTGGAGGAGAACGATTAAGAAAATAGTTTTCCAGTCCGCGGCCGGTTTCTTCTAATCGTCATCCCGGGCGCCGCCGCGTGAACACGACCCCCGGTCATTTATTAATCGTCATCCTCCATTAGCCCTGCCGCCCCCAACCTGTCCCCCCCCCATCCCGCCCCCGCTCTTGGCAACAAGAAGCGCAAAGCATCGGGATGTTGAGAAGAAGGAGGCCGAAGGGGAGCAAAGACCCCGGCCGGGAAATCTACCTTCACGCCGCGCGTGAAGGGGGGGCCAAATCACGCCAAAATGAATCGCTTCCCCGCAAACGGGGGCGTGCCCGGGGTTGTCGCCCCCGCTGTCCTATGGATGTCCCGTGGTCGTTCCGTGGTTGTCCCGTGGCTGTCCCATGGTTGTCGACGGTTGTGTCGTGGGTGTGCCGTGGTTGTCCAATGGTTGTCCCGTGGCTTCCCGCGGTTGTCACGTGGTTATCCCGTTGTTGTCCCGTGGTCGCCCCGAAATTGTCCTTGGGTTATCTGTGAATGTCCCTTGGTTGTCCCGTGGACGTGCCGTGGTTATTCTGTGCTGTGCTTGTCTTGCCGTTGCCCAGTCTATACATACATATTGAAGCCGACAGATACATTTTGGGATCGAAGGTCGATTGATTGGACAATATACAGAGAATGAGGCCGATAGCTAGCACTCCTGACAAATCTGCTGATCATGACATGGGTGGGTCAGTAGCCAAGAAAAGAAAAAATGAGAACGACCGATTGCTTGATAAGGATATCGATAAACTGATCGTAAAGCCTGAGCATTCATGAGTCGGCGTCCCGTGGTTATCCCGTGGTTATCCCTTGCTTGTCGTTGGCCCGTGGTTGTCCCGCCGATGCCCCGTGTTTGTCCCGCGGTTGTCCCACGATTGTCTCACGGTTGTCCCGTGGTTGCCCTGTGATCGTCCCGTGATATTGCCCGTGGATGTGCCGTGGTTGTGGCGTGGTTGTCCCGTGCTTGTCCCGTGGTTGCCCGTGGCTGTCACAAGGTGAAACCCTGGTTGTCGAGGATATCGATGAAATTTGGACTGATCGAGAGATAGTCTGTAAGTTCGGTCGACCGATTGATGATGCGGTCGGAATGACATGTGAAGCGTATAGGCCGTGCAACAAATTGACGCTCTGATACCAAAATCGATGGACTGATGGTGAGGCCGACAGGTAGGACTGCCGGTATATGCATATGTGTGTATACTTGCATGTGTGCAAAACCGTTCGGGAGATCGGTCGCGAATAAGGTTCGACGCCAATCGCAATCGGGAGCCTGCTCCCGTCCACCGCCAACCAAAATATCACCCGAAAGGTGATCTGGGTAAGTTGCGGCTTCGTCAGCCAACCGGGTGGCTGCCAGAGCGGCGTGGCTCGATCCAGGTAGCCCAACGGTGTGGCTCATCGTTTACGCTCTGCGGCGGGCCGCCAATCAGATAAAACGAATGATCCCTAGGAGTGCCTGGGTAGGCCGTGAGGACCCCTTATCAGGGCACGACTGTCCTGCGGTTCATTCGCAAGACCAGTCTCTGGAGCAGGATCTGACAACATGAATCATGAACATATGTTTTAGAAGGCTACGCGATTCTCTAGAATCGGTGCTGGAGTCCCAGAGTCGGTATCTCAACGCGTTATACACATAGGGAGGGGAGGAGGGGCATGACGGGAGAGATTGGGGATGTCAAGAAAGAGGAGACGAACGGAAAACGACGGTGATATGACGATGAGAGCGAGCATGATGGAGACGAATGGACAAGGATGCAGGGATGGGGGGAACAATCTGAGATGGATAGGTCGGTGAGTGTAAAGGTAATGAGCACTAGGATCAGAAGGATGAGAAGCAGGACAAAGGAGGAGGGGCATAAAATGTGGGGGGGGGGGGGCGATGCCGCATGATGCAGGACGATGGTCGAGGAAAAGGGTAGAGGTCGAGGACGAGGGTGAGGAGCCGGCCTCCCCTTCAAGTCCCCGGCGCCTGAGCCCAGCACGACAGAGCTCACCGCGCCCTCCCCCTCTGGGTCCTCAGGGGGTAGGGGAAGGGGGAGCAAGCAGCGCACGTGCCTGCAGTCTTAAACAACTACAACAGGACAAAATATTTGAAACATGTCCAGACAAGAGCAAACTCAGCATGCCAAACCCTCTTGTGAAGGAGCACGCGACATGAGACAAACGGTCGCTCTCGACACCTCATCGGGCCACAACGACCCTACCCCCTCCGCCTCCTCCTCTCCTTGCCCTTCAGAGTTTCCATGCCTCCTTTATCATGTGTTCTGTCCTCTTCTTTATCCTTTCACTCGGCGGCGAGAGAGGGGGGAAGCGATAAGGAGAAGGCCTTCTCAGAAGGCGGCGGGACTTCTCAGGAGCGCTCTGGCCTTCTGAAGAGTTTTCTGCGTCTTCGGGGAAGGCTTCAAAAACAACTTCTCTGAAGGCCGGGGGATATCCGAGCCCTCTGAAAATGCCCGCCGCTTCTCACTTCCCCCCCCAGGGCTCGCCGCCGAATTATGTGTTCTGTCCTTCTCCTTAGCCTGTCACGTCCTCCACCTCTCTCTCTCTCTCGGGCGGGGGGTACTGGGGGATGACCTACATGGGGAGTGAAGAACAAAGCCCCACAAGGGAACTTCAGGGCCGCGTTTGGATCCAGCAGGGGCCCAACAGGGGCCCTAAGGTGCCCCTCTCAGGGCCCTTTTTTCTTCACCCCCCATGTAGGTCGTCCCCCAATACCACCCTCGGCTGTTCGCCAGAGTGACCCTGGGCAAGAGTGACCTCTGGTGCGCGGCCTTCTTGAGGGCCACGGGGGGACCAAACACACGCGCGCAAGTCGCTACTATCGCAGTGCGCTTGGCGATCGGGGGACCCCACTGGGCCCGCACCCATGGTCACTCTGGCGAAAGGTCACTCTTGACGAGGCCCTGGGACACACAAACAAATGCACACCAATAACAGGATTCCCCATATTTCCCAATATCTTCCAGGTCTTTGTCTTCCCCCCCCCACTTCCCATCTTCTCTCATATCTTCCTGGGGCGGACGATGAATTGTGTCTGCGTGTGTTTTTTTCCCTCCTGAACTCTTACAACTGGTCGTCGACCCCCAGAGGTCTCTTCCCGTTCCCCAGGAGCGGCTCCTCGTCCCGGGTCGCTTTCTGACGGTCCCGAGGGCCGGCAAAGGGCCCCCATGACCAAAAATACTGCAAAACCCCCCGTGGCGATCTCTTCATGGCTCGAGGGGGGGTCTGGGCAGGTCGCCCTGGCGAAGGGCCCCTCCTGCCGCCTCCCCCGGGCCGCCCGGGCCCCGCCTCGGCTCCGTGGGCCGCCGGCCCTCGCTCTCCCTCCCCCCTGGTGCGCGGGGCGCCGCCGACGCCCCCCGTCGGCGCACGGGAGGCCGCGCGGCACGACGCAACCCTCGCCCTCGCCCCCCTCCCCTACTCCCCCCCCCCCTTTACACCCCTGCCTCGAAAGGAGGAACTCCTGGGCCAGGAGAGGCAGCTTCCTGGGGGTGGAC